AGCTCTTCCTTGCTGTTTGTCTCCGCGTGAACTGGCTATGTTGGACACGCGCGATTATCGATCTCAAAGTGCTTCGAGATTTCGCGAAAATGCGAATTTTGAATTCGTTTTTCTTCTAACTCATTCGTGTAAGAGCAAAGCTTTACCAGCACTGGCTTCAATTGAAATTATTATTAACGGGTATAATTTAAATTATTTTTAATTACATTGCTGTTTTATTTAAATCATTTAATTGTTATTTTTAATTTAAATATAAATAATTTAATTTAAATATAACATTATTATAAAATAATAAAATAAGAATTTCTTATTATTATTTTAATTATTAATGATTTAAAAATAAAATGTACGTACACTTTATTATACACTTTATTATGCTATAATTATGATTAAATTCACTTAGAAAAACTATTGGGAATCGTTATCGCGAATCAGCAGTGTACAAGGAGGTCAAGAAGTTCGCTGTGCGTATAAAATGAGACTATAATACATACTCAGGGGTACCGTTTATCTATCGCTTGCGAAAGTTCTCTCATACGTTTAGTAGCGATACGTTGATGACGATGAGATATATGCAAAGTTATTAGAGCCGAGCGCTAAAGTTTAATCTCACGCGACCTGATCCTCTCGTCACGTCGAGTACGTTTAAACAAACGCGACAAGACTTGGTGAGTCCGACAATTAAGTTTTATTTTTTATTACGAGTTATTATTAATTCTATGAAGCGCATACAAATTAATCACTCGATGCTCCACAAATTATAACCGATACCCCGGACGTAACGGATGTCGACGAACGACACGACAAAGTTGCGAGGACGTTGCTAAGAATAGAGAACCGTCCGCTCTCTCGCTCTATCTCTCTCTCTTCCGGGACCAGCGGCCTCGAATGCCGGCCGCCGATTTATACGTGTCCAGCGCGATTAAATATGTTTAGCGACTGCTTCCGGATACGTCCTATATTTGTCCGTGTATAAATGCTTAGACTAAATCCAGCCGAATCTTAATTGGATGATGTTAAATCTTAATAGAAGGCATCAGATTACCAACTCTGAAAATTATCCCTGACGAGATTAAGTTTCTTTTCATTATAATTATATTTTAATATTTTATTACACTATTATATTTTTTACTATTTTGTTATATTCTTATAATATTTCGTTATTATTATAAAATTATAATGTTATAAAATCTTGAATACTCTCTCTCTTTCTACATATTTTTTTATTTATTTATTATTTAACATATTTAAATATATATTAAATATATTAAATATATCAAATATATTAAATAATATATTTAATATATTTATTTATATATTATTTAATATATTTAATATATTATAAATATATATTTTTTTCCTGCAGAGTCTCTGATTATCAGAGTACTTCGCGTGCTCGATATATCGCGCGATCGCGATGCGTCAGTTCGGGAGGTGCCAGTTTTCCTCCTCCCTATTCAAATCGGCTTTCACTCCGAAGATTCCTCCGTAAAAGCGATGTCTGAAAATGCAACAGACACCGCACGCGGCGGTGCTCGTTCCTCGCGCGGACGATCGCGCACATTCCGAGCTTCTCGTGGCTTTGATGGGTTCTCAAGACCGCCCTTTCCCTGTAGTCTCCCTCTCGAGCGTCTCAACAACGGCGGCTTCTCGTCTAAAAACGGAACCCCATCCGCGTTTTTATCCGCCACTTTACGTTCCCTCTAGATGCGCAAGCAACTTGATTCATTGATCCCGCGATCAGCATGTTTCGCACGTTTCGGATCATGCGTCAAATTCACAGATGCTCGATCTCAAATTAATCTCTCGCTTATTTCTGTATTACGGTCTTTATTTATCCTTATTGCGAGAAATCTATTTTCAAGAACTGTTTCATCGTGGATTTTAAATAGGGGATGTTTTGTTTAGGCTCTCGAATACTTTAAAAAGTGAAGTGAAGAAAAAAACTGGAAGAGTGAACTCTCTATAGGGCTCGCTAGGTTCTAGTATCTATTTAATGATTGTATGCACTTTACGACTAATACAATTTCCTTCTTCAGAGAGTTTTTGCTCTTGCGAGAAGTCTCGTCGCGATTGTACGCAGCATCGCGCCGAGATTTAATGGCGAGCGCGCGGTTGGCTTTGCCGACCTTAAAGTTTGTAATTTGCATGCATTTGCTCGCGGCGTTGTGTACGCGTGTAAAAATCGCCAGGAGGTGAAGACTGCTCCTTTTTTCCAACGCAACAAAAAGATCGGCCGGGAGGAGGGGAAACGTTCACCGCAACGACATATATTATGACGTACTTTAAAAGATTAAACGGTTGCATATAATATTTAATAAACCAACTTTAAAAATTTCAGGAGAATTTCTTCGCAAGAGAAAGAAGGGAAAAGTGATAAAAATAATTTATAATTCGAATTATGAATATAAAAGATGACGATTCAAACTCACACTACATTTTTGTGTAAAGACTATTATTTTTCACTTAGCATCCATATAAATCCGGCAGATCATTTTTAGCAATTATTTTATGCCCCGGTGTTGAGCCTGGCTAGCTTTTCCTTAAAACCAATGGCTAAACCGCTGAACAATAATTTATATACACTAATGCGCATCTAAGTAATACCGGTTAATTCCTCGGTTTACCCCCGAGTGGTCGCCCGTATAACCCCTGTTAACCTCTTCCCGCGATTAGCGCTATCATTAAATGGGATCGGCGTTACTAAGGGATTGCGATAAAACTTGAGTGACTGTTATGGAGCGACACACGATTCGATATCATAATAATTCAAAGTGGAAATGGATCATTAACAGCGAGCGTATAATGGGCAAAAAGTTAGAGGGATAGTGGGATAGGTGGGTTGGTCGCTCGAGAGACCTCGAATTTCTCTCCAGCGAGAACGAGTCACGTGATTCACGAACGGCAGAACGATAAAGCGTATTCTTTCCGACGATCTTTCTAGCCCCGAGGGTTCGATCTCTCGCCTCGTTCTCGGATTGCGGAAACCCTTAACCCTTGGTGCCGCGAGCGTCAAAAGAAAGAAATAAACCTCGAGTTGCACGATCAGAGGGAACAGGTAGAAAGATACCTAACGAGTAACATGTTTTCTTTTCTTTTTTAAAAAAAATGGACAGTTTTTCTCAACTTAAACGGATGAAAATTAAAATTCGACACGCGACTCTAATAGACTCTGAAAGCTGTTTAAGAATTTGATCGCGTTATATTCACTGAATTGATTGATAAATAAATTTTTTCAAGAGAAACTTCAGTTCTGTTTCAGCAATATTAAAATTTAACCGAGAGGGAAGGATATATTTATCACATTATATCCTTCATCCATAAAATTGGACGTTTACATTTATTACATTCATCATTTTTATTACTTTACATTCTCATCGCGTTTCAGTGATGTAAGCATAAATTATACGGACCATATTAAAGATTTATTTTCTTTCTAGAAGGAAAAGAATTCTTTTTTAAAAAGAATCAAACTCGCATCGGTTAATGCGAGAGAGATTTAAACTTTTCCATCATATCGCACACATCTCGTGTACTCTTCTCTTTACGATTTATTTAAAAATTAATTTATTAAAAAAGGAGGGCGATTGAGGAATTCGGAAGCTTAAAGAAATGCATTTACGTATATTTCAGAACGTCGTATTCCCGACGAAAAAAGAATCACAGAAACTTCGCCCTTAATTCTTTCGATAAGACAGAGAAATCCCTTTTGCGCGTCGCCGATCGACGAATGATCAGTTCGAAAGAGCCATGCGACGTCGCGTCGGTGCAACGCGACAGGGCTTTGACAGTCCGGATCGTTACACATGACTGCGAATCGATTATCGAAATGTATCGTGCCATTGACGTATGCATACACATACGCACAAATACATACATACATATATATATATATATATATATATATATATATATACAAATATATGTGTACATGTCGCGAACTCTGTCGTAACACGCGACCGATGCTCGCGCTCTCAACAAGGGAATATCGTGCCGTCTGCGTGATTTAATGCGCCGCGCATTCGCGTGTGCGGCGCGTAAAAGGATTACGGGAAGGTGCAAAAAAAAACGCACACGCGCGCGCGCAAAAGAGAAAAGCAAGAAAAAAATCGATGGCCCCCGTGATATCCAGTACGACTGCGGCGCGATCGCGGATATAGGATCGCTGGATTTTCGGCGTATCCTTTCCGCATTGAAAAATATCGCGTCTATATCAAATTCGAATTTTTAACTAACAGGGCAGATAAATAACTTGGCCGTTTGCGGATACGCACGCACCCACGCACGCACGCATACGTATATACGAATACAGACGAACACGAGCAATAAAATAAATTACACAAAGCGCATCGGATTTTATTCCGTCGGACTATGCGCGGAATATCTCACGTGGAGATTTGGACTTTTTGCCCCCCCACCTCTAGCGAAATCCGCGCTCCTTTTATTCGAGCGTGTAACCTCCGCCCGGAGATATAACGCATGATTTAGGACAGTACGGTTGCAATATGTCCATTTCAATTTCGTGTTGTTCTTCGTCAAGCTGTTTTGGAAAAAAAGGAAAAAACATCACCGGCGGGGGACATTCGATACCACCCGTTATACGAGTTCGATCTTTCATTCGTTGGAATACTATATTTATATTCATACACACTCATATATCCTCCTATGCAAAGGAGGAGAGAGAAAAACATAGACGTGTGTTCCGTTTGGCAATCAAGCATAAAGCGCTTCTAAGATGGTTAAGCTTTACTTGTCAAAACTGACCATTTAGTTAAAAGCAATCTTGACTAAAAGTATCGAATATTCTGATAATATTAAAAATATTGATACAATTATACTTGACTATAGTTTTATAGCGTTCATTAATTATGATTATATATTCATGTTATATTTGGGAAAGCTTACAATGTTATAAATCTACTGAACTCATCTCGATACTCGAGGCTATGAAGGGTTGAGGACTCTCGAGTTTCAAGCCCGACAACATAAAATTGACTCACCATGACGACGCATTCGCCATCACAGCCTTTACGATGTCGCGTCTCGACGCCTAAGTCGCGTACAGGATCGTCCATCCATTCGAGGGATGATCAGCGACCTTTACGCGGACCGGGGGTGAAAGCATCAGCAGCCAGGATTAAAGCGCGCGGTCGGCCCTTCTCCTTCGGTTCGTTTGATCCGCGTCGCGTCCTCCTGGCGCCAGTCTCGATCGATCTTGTCTCTGTGCGATATCTCGTAAACTGTGAACGAAGGGAAGGAGTGTTTATTGTTATCCCAGGGCAAAACCCTCTCTTGGGACGAGAGGAGAAAAATATATAGCGAATGACAAGCCATATCGTGAATTAAGATCGTTACATGTGTATGTTGAATGAGCGTATAAATGTATAATATATCTTTTAATTTTAACTAACGACTCGATTCACTTGTATCGATAAGTATAATAATGTGTATTCGTATGTAATTAATTTGTGTTAAAGACTCCATTAATATACACGAGATAGAAAAAATTATTAATTTAAATGCATGCAAAAAAATAAAATTACATGACGCGAGCTTTTTATATTTCTGTAAATTTTAATCTTGTGGAAAAAATTATTAATAATATTTATTTTACATTTTTTTGAAAGATACGTAGTGCGTCAGAATATAAAATAAAACTTATGTAATATTGTGTTACAATTTTGATGCAAAATAAAAGATAATATATGTATAAAATAAATATAAATAAATATAATATAATAAATAAAATGTAAAATAAAATATTCTTATACTTTTATGCTATATTTCGATTATAGGATAGTTAAATAACTGTAATAATTTGCTTTAGAATTAAACAAATTGTCGAGAATGCGAATATATTAAAGAGAAGAAAAAGAGAAGATGATAAAAAGAAAAGAAAGATGGAGCGTGAAACGCGCTATCATCCGTCTCTCCATCATCTCCCTTTTTCTCCCTATCATCTCGAAAAACCGGATGCATCCAAAGTGCAATGCTTACAATTCCTGACCGACGTTTCCACGATAAAATGGAGCGCGATGAGCACGTCAATCCTGAAAAATGATGAACGTATGCGTGCGAGTCACGACGCCGCCACTTGCGATCGCGACGAGCGCCAAGGGACCTGCCGAAACTTTTCCCTTCAGATGCGAAAATTTTGCTCCTCTTTGCTCATTTTTTCGAAGGAAAGGAGGGGAAAAGGGTTTCCAGCTGCGTGATTGACGAGATCGACGTTACGCCGGGCATCCAGAGATGACGAACGGTTTTTGCGGTATCGCGTCATCCGTTCTCATCGTTCCCCCAAAACAATCCCCCTCGCAAATCGATTCTTGCTACACTCAATGCGTTGGCAAAAGCAATGTAGTCGAAATGTTAATTACGATCACAGGACAATTAATGACGAAGATAAAAACCTTCGAATTAATCATCATGATTGTCAAAATGTGATTGACATTCTTTTCTGTTAACAGAAAATTAATTTTTTTGAAATATATTTGATGTTATCGAAAGTGGAAACGATCTTATCGAAACTAGAGGCAATTTTGACACAAGATAAATAAATTCTAACTTATTTATTCTACTAAAGATCGATCGATCGATTGCAATGATATACTTGTATAACATCATGTGGCACAAATAAAATATCGTAAGGATGCGTCATGATATTTATGTTACAAGGATAGTGAATATGAGAAACTAAAATTCCTAGGGAGAGTAAAAGAAATCAAGGACGTCTTATCTTCATTGAGAAAGAGAATAAGCAAGGAGTTGAGGAAGGGCAATAAACGGCGATATAAAGTAGCGAAAATCTGCGAGTTGCGTTTTCTTGGGCTGAGAACAGAGCGCGAAGATAAGACGCCGAGGATAAAAGGGAGAAATATAACTGCGAGATAGGTAGAAGAACATAGTGTTGCTAATTTGATGCCAGGATACGATGCGCACCAGTTATCGCGCCACGACTTACTTCACAAGCGAAGCGCGCGCGTAGGCGGTTTTCCGCGGCTTTTCCGACGCGAGTATTTTCATTTCGAGAATGACCCACATCTCCGTGTGAGCTTACCTCTCTTCATTTATAATTGCTACAGAGTTACTCGGTATATTTCGGGATTTCAGCTCACGAATATATTTTCTTATGCATTAAACGCGCGATTTTTTTTTTAAATCGATTACGTCTCTATTTGTGGCTTTTCTTTTAATTTTGTTGGTGTTTTAGCATCGTATCTCGAAACTGGAAAGTAAGGAAAGGTTAAGACTTTAGAAATCCAAGCTGAAATATCACGAGTAACGTGGATACGCGACAGGGAAAAGCCGCGAACGCGGGAAAATGCGGGACGGAGAGATAACGAAAGCGTAATTTATTATTTCGCGACCGCGGAACAATAAAGGGTTGTCTCGGGGTGGATGTAAGATACAAGGCCGGCGGGTAATTGAAATTAATAAGCGGAGGAGAGAATAGAGGCGGCGATCTCAACGGTAATTAAATCTGCCTTTAAATCCGCTTAGATAAACGCTTATCCGACGAACGCAGGCTCATTCGCGTAAATTCCAGTCATTGTAAAAAACGATCGAATCGGTTAGCATATTTTTATGGTAATAGAGTTAAAATATATAATTATAGCTATAATTATATTGTTATAATTAAATTATTATAATTATAATTAAATTATAACAATGCTATAATTATGCCCTATTTCAGCAACGAATTAGTCGATTTCGATAAAATAATTTTTCGATAAAATAATGCATACATTTCAATTAAAATCTTATTAAAATAATATTTCAAGAAAGTAATTTTTTTGAATATCGTCCTTGCAATTTTTTTAGTTTTTAAAATTTATTAACGATAAATCATTGCTCGAAACAATAATTAATAAAATAATAAAATTATTTAGCGATCGTTATTTGAAGTAACCATGAGATTTATATCGGTCTTTGATATATGTGTACGGTATCTCTCGCAGAATTAAATCATCCTGTTCCTTCTGCGAGAGACGTCAAATGTTCTTTCTTCGAAGAACAATGGACTAGAACGTCTTCCTAGCAAGAAGACGACGGCATTCTCCTTCGAGCAGTCGGCTCTATTAGGAGGAAGCTTGCCGGAGTAATAATATAGATCGCGAAGAGGTTCCTGGGTCGCCCTTGGCAGTTTCCTCAAGTACTTAAGAGGTAATACAACAAGAAGCGTTAATTGATCCTTTAGAACGACTAAATTAGTCAGCAAATTTGTTTAAAAAATCTTCAACTTCCAAGTAAGTCCGGGGCATATCTTTCAAATTATAATTCATCTTCTCGATTAATATTTCTTAAAGATAAACTGCAATTCTATTATGCATATATTGACTATTATATTTTATAGAAAAGCTAAATATAATATATATTTTTTTTTCGTTCATTATATAAACGATTAAACCAATATATACCAATATATTTATTTTATATATTGAAATTACGACAGTCTAAGGTTAATCATTTTTTCTTTAATGATTCATGCATATATACATCACATGAAACTAATATGTAAATATTATGCAAATCTTTTGCAAATATATTTAAACAATATAATATTAATCACACATATAGAGCAGAATAATAATTAAAAAGTTTCTATAACAATCTCTAAAATGTACTCCTTTTTTTTTAAATTAAATATTTTCTACTCTAAAGAGTGAACATATTATATTTATAATACTCTCTCAATTTTCACTCAATTTTCTTTCAATTCATCTCCTGTTTGATAAAAAAACCTCGTATCTCCGGAAAATAACATTTATAAAAGTATATTTTGAGGTTGTTGTTACCTGCATATTCGGGTGCGTCACAATCAAATTTCGCGTGTATCTTTTTCATTACTATATGTATTCAACTTCTTTGGAGCTTCGAATTTCTCCTCCGGTGAGGGAGTTTCCGCTCTTGCGATAAGGGAAGCTACGCGCGGCGGAAGTGGTTGGCCCGGGCCGACCCTAGGGCGATCCTTCGGAAGGATCCGAAGACGCGCTCTACATCGGGAGTTCGGTCGCTTGCTGAGATTGAAATCCCATGGGACGGTAACGCCTTAGCATCTCTTCCTCTCTCGCACGTCGATACGTAGAAATACATCCCGCATGCTCTCCTCCGAGGCTCCGAGGATCTGCGGCTTCGCTCCCCCTTCCCTCCTCCCTCTCAGCTTCCCGCCATCCTTTCCCCGCGCTTAGAGAAATAGTTGCCGAGAGCTGCGCGGACGACGGCGGGGAGGGAGGAGGAGGGAGAAAGGGGAGCTGTCGTGAAGCGCCGAAATATATTCAGACGACATTTACAAGCCAAATTGAAGGGAATAGAGAGGCGCCGCCGCGCCAGCGCGAAAGACAAATTGATTTTGAAATGGCGGGAGAGCGAGAGGAACACGTCGCGAGAGAGGAGAGAAGAAGCGCGGGCAGGGTGTAGGATTGGGGTGGCACAGCCCAAAGAAGGTGCAGCCAAACGGTTGCAACCGCCGAACGATCCGCCAGCGCCACACGCGGCATTTGACAATTATTCAAATTACGACGAAATCCATTTGAACATCGGGAGAATCACGGGCGACGCGTCATCTCCTCTGGAGCGAATGCCCTCCGAATGTGAATCGTGAGATTTTACGATCGAAGTAATTAATTTGACGACCCTCCAGGAAGATGATCACTCGCAACCTCGGTATTCCACGAAAAAGAGGTCGAAGACTTATTAAGCAATCTCTAAAATCTCTAAGGAAGAATCTCGACAGAGAGTAATGAAAAATAACATATAATCTATCTATTATTAACGACGATAACAAAGATTGTGAAATAATATCAACTTTGTAGGATATTTTATTCTATTCTAATCATTTTACTTTAACCAGAGGCGAGCCTTATGAGATATATAGATTTTATTTCTTTTGCGGATTGTATTAAAGATCGGAAGTAACATTTTCCCGAATTCAATTCGCCATCACATTATGTCGCTTCTCGAAATCATCGCCGATTACTCACTCCTCTGTCAATTAGCACATTCGTGGCAAACAGTTTCGCGCGCGTCAAATATTTGTCCCGAAAGATTACACGTTACATTTAGATGGGAGGGAAGGGGAGGCGGGGAGATCGAGCCGAAAGCGCGTTAATTGAAGCGAGTAAATTAATCGGAAGGGCGATTAATATACGGTCGCTCGCGACTTATTATTCGCGCGTATTCATGCGGTCGGCTTGTTCCCTCATTAGCGGCCGACCAAATCTCCCGAGATACGATATCGGAA